CTTGCTTGGCTCTCGGTGGGGCTTCCTACGGCTCTCGGTGGGGCTTCCTACGGCTCTCGGTGGGGCTTGCTTGGCTCTCGGTGGGGCTTGCTTGGCTCTCGGTGGGGCTTCCTACGGCTCTTACGGCTCTCGGTGGGGCGACGAGTTTTCCGGGGCTCGGACTATTTTTTTCAATTTCGCGACTATATTTTGCAGGTCCCGAGGGTCCCGACGATATTTTCCAGGATCCCGACGATATTTCTGGATTCCCGACTATATTTTTGCAGGTCGCGAGGGTCCCGACGATATTTTCCAGGATCCCGACGATATTTCTGGATTCCCGACTATATTTCCGGAGTCCCGACGATATTTCCGAAGTCCCGACGATATTTCCGAAGTCCCGACGATATTTCCGGAGTCCCGACGATATTTTGGCCAGAAATGCATTCCCGACTATATTTTGGGTTGCTTTGATGTCCCGACGATATTTTGCCAGCCCCGACGATGTTTTTTCGGAGCCTGACGATAAAATATAGCCAAAAGCATGTCCAGGAGGGCCCTCTCATGTTGGATTTGCTCCGACGGGGCGGCTATCCAGCTACACAGGACCTACGCATCGACCTGGAGGAGGGCTTCGATATGCTGGGCGAGGTCCGCCAGACCCCTGGTTGGAGGGAGCGCGACGACGGGCGGTATTCCAACCCGGCGCCCCTCGACCGCCTCCGCCGGGAGAACCCGAGATATGTGGCGACCAAGGCTGGCCGACTCGGAGCACACTTCCGCCCTCCGAAAGGAACTGGTCAAAGAAGCCCGACTGGGGCGGGTTGTGGGCCCTTGTCGGGCCCCCGACGATTGGGGCGTGACCATGGTGGCGATCCCCGAGATCGCGGACATGTGCCGCCTGCTGGAACCGCATCAGGGCGACTGCTTTGCAGCCCTCTCGTTCGCCATCACCCAGCTCGACGAACACGGGGACCTTAAGCTTCGTCGTGGCGAAGATTGGCGGCGCTCAGGCCACAACGCCACGATGAGGGCGCATGATGTCCCTACTCACCATTTCCTGGGCGACATCGTGTCGGGCGGTGGCCTCTGGCTGGGACCCCGTGCTCTTTGGGCACGACTTGCAGAACGCCTACCGCCAATGGGCGGTCAAGTTCCCAGGCCACTGCGGCACTTTCCTCCCGACCGCCGCTGGAACCACGTTGTGGTTCCACTTCGCAATGTGTTTCGGCGCGGCGGCGAGCGTCTGGAACTTTAACCGGGCGGCGGATGCGGTCCAGATGCTTGCTCGGGCGCTGCTCGTCGTCCTCTTCGGGCACTTCGTGGATGACTTCAACGGAGTGGAGGACGCGGCTTCGGCGGATTCCGCCCATTTCGCCCTCGCCGACTTCTTCGCCTTGCTCGGCCTTCAGACCAAACCGTCTAAAGCCCAGGCCCCGGCTAAGGAACACGTGGTCCAGGGCGTTTCGGTGAGGGTCGCCCGGGAGGGAGTCGAACTGCGCCCCTCGATCTAGCTGAATCTAGCTTCTTGGTAGGAGTGCCGGCGCCTTGTGGGCGGTGGGTGCGCCGGGCGGACGCAGAAGTGCGCACCCCGGCACCGGCACCGGTTTTCGGGGCGGTGTGCTCGGCCGGGCGCATGTATGCGACTCGACCATCCAAAAGGAGCCACTGCACCCTAAGTAGGATTTTGGGCTAACTCGTTAGCGCAGCGCTTGTTGTGTAGCGCACGTGTGCGAGTAGGAACAAGCGTCAGCGACCGAACCGCAGCCAGCCGGTTCGATCGCCTGATTTGAGTTCCCGCCCACCCCACCCTTGAGGTTTAAATCGACTTATATACGGCCGTCACCCGCCCCACCGGGCGGCTGCCCGGGGTGGACGCAGAAGTGCGCACCCCGGCACCGGCACCGGTTTTCGGGGCGGTGTGCTCGGCCGGGCGCATGTATGCGACTCGACCATCCAAAAGGAGCCACTGCACCCTAAGTAGGATTTTGGGCTAACTCGTTAGCGCAGCGCTTGTTGTTCGTCACTTCTTCGGTTCACTTTTCACCTGCCTCCAGCTGGTTGCCTACTTTGTGTGTGTGCCCATGATGTTCAACAGTGAAGGCTCACTGGTACCACAATGAAACGATTCTCAGCAGAAGCACTTCAGGTTTCCGTTGATATCTTGGGCCATGTATATGGGGCATCAGCCTAAGATGTCGGTTTGAGAGCAGTGTTGCACGAAGGAGAATTGTTGCACTGGTAGGTAGGATGACGGACAGCATGTTCCATACGTTCAAAGCCAAAGAGCCGGTGCCTCATTTTGAAACTTGTTTCCAAGTTGGAAATGTTGCTCTGTCAGGGCATACGCTTACGGCTACGCCTACGTCGGATCGTACATAGCCGTGTCCGCGTTTTCTTTCGCTTCAGTCGGTGCGATGCTGGGAGTCTCCATGCAGCATGCACGGGCTGCAAGTCAACGAGATGGTGCAAGAACCGCTGTTGTTCTCCAGGATCCGATGTTCTGAGCCTAGGCTTGGGCGTTGCAAGATCATGGCAGCCTTTCAGTGTGGTGTTGCACCTCTGACAAATGTGGTACGCCAACTGAGGGCAGGCATGCCACCTGCATGGGGGTCGGGCATGCGTCACACTGAGTTTGTCACTGAAGGCTCAGTTCATGTGCCCACTCCGCAGGGATGCTCTTGTGCAAGCGAGGCCACCGCCAATGCTGCCTCCATCCTGACTTTCCACCACCACAACCGGGTGAATATTCACGCGCTGCAGCTCAAAAGAAAGCTGCGATGTGCTGCTTATGAGCTTGATTGCGCACATGCGTCGTCCAAGTCCTGTCGAATGCAGCTTCCGCACACATCGACGAGGGACGTGGGTGGGTTGTCCAAAGCGGCGTCTTGTCTGTGCAATGGGAAGGCACACAATATGCTGGCAAACACACGTTGACACACTCGTCTGACAGACGGTCTATGTGCAGCCAGCTCTGCGCAGCGTGTTCATGAGAAGCGTAGTTAGGAAGAGCTACAGCGAGGGTCTCATCCGGAAGCCGCAAAGCCCCTGAAGGCAGCAAGCACTGTCCGAGTGTCGATGAAGAAAACACCACCATCATTGGACACGGTGTGAAAACTGGTTGCTCCCAACGCCTCAGCGGGTTGGAGCGCCGATCTGGCAAGCGAGGTGTGCACGTGCCGTTGCACCCTTTAGATGTCCAAAAGCTCGAACAATAAGCTGTAATTCGAAGAACAGTTTCAGAGATTCGTCAGCAGACCCTTGATCTCTCTGCCAAAGCGGCTTCTCGTCGGGCATGAGCACGCAAGAACGAGCGAACACATGCTTATCCAGCACGCTCCGACCCGTCCTGGCGCTTCATCGAGCATGATACGGAGCAATACCTGGCCTCGCCAGTATATAAGTATATAAGCCTCGCTTCAAAAACCTGATCGTCGCCAGCTCGCAGTTCGGGGCAATCCTTAGCCTTATGCCGTTGCCAGTGGCGAATGACCCAGCTGACACTGTCCGAACACCGAGGCCCGAAGCCTGCTGCACCATCACTGCTCGCTCCTTTTTCGTCAAGGACGATAACCGCTGTGTCTGCAGGCGAGGCACAGGTGTTCTAATCCCCGGAGTTCTGCGCGACGGATCGGTGGCGCCCGACAGACAGTGGTGTCCTTGTATATGCGACGAAAGTCACTGCTGAGCCCAGCTCAGTGTCGCTGCAAGCGACTGAGTGGCTCTCAGAGAACACCGATGGGACCGGTTCTGATGATCCCGACAGCGCTGCGCCACCAGAGCCCGAAGCCAAAGCGGGAGGCGGTGCCAAGGCTCAGCAAACTCAGGAATCCGAGCCGCAAAGAACGCCACAGACGGGCCGGGCTGCCGCACCGCCACAACTGACCGTCAGCCCAGCGCGGGCCTTCTCTTTCCAGTTTGGACTCGGCTGGTTGTGGGGCTGTGGGAGCTTGGAGTAACTTGAAGGGGAGGCAAGTTGGGAGAGTAAAGTCCCGGGCCCTGAAGTACAGCAAGCGCTGGAAACGAGGGGATGCTTTGGGGTTGGTACAAATGCAAAAATCAGCCTTGCTGTGGCGGGGTGGTGGTAGCCCTGGAGGGAAGCATAGTTAACACAGTAGAGTCTCCCGCCGACACCAGTCTCACTTTTCACTTGCATTGCTATTGAAGAGCTTTTGCTAGTTGCTGAATAGCTTCTCCAGTTAGTTGCGTGTATTGTGGGACGTGTTGCAAGTTTGTGTTGCTATGATGCTGTCAGCGCGGCGGTTTCCGCTGATGATGCATGGGACGCAGCGTCCCATGAACAACGTACGCGGTGGCGGCTCGCTTGCGCTCCCCGGGCGTGAGCCGTTCTCATCGGTCTGCTTCTATGGGATTCTATTGGTACTGCCCATGTCCGGTCGTCACACCTTGACGAGCATCGCCGTCGTGATGCTCTTGGTAATAATCGGAGAAGGTGGCGACGCTGTGGGTTGTGACATTCCTTGGGGCAGGACAGTGGGCCTAATTACTCGGCAATGAACCTGAAAACCACACTGCCTGTGGAATTTTGGAGAAAGCTTCTCCATGTGCTGGATTCTCTGAGCAATTTTCGCTGACTTTGGACTTGGTGGCTCAAAGAATTACGGTATCAGTTTAATGAAATGCGACATGTTGCCGGCGATTTTAATCCAAAAGCCGGTCAGCCTCTGAGATTCTCAGAAGAAAGCTTCGGCATCAAAGGAGCTTGCTGACTTGTCATGCCAGCTCGCCTGCACAACTGAGGTGCAGACATCACTGTTCATGATATGGCTGTCCCTAGGTGGCAACAAAGGTTGTTCTCGCGTTTGCTACTGGCCTTGCGGCTTCCACGAAGCAACCGGGGGGATACAACGCAGGTTGGGATGCAGTCTGAACAGTCAGTTTAGCTATCATCTCAAAGCAAGGCGTAGGCAGCGCCGGGTCCGGCGCCCTCAGCGGTTGTATGCATCGTTATTGATGATGTCACGGGAACCGTTGTTGCGTTCATTCCCCCGTACTCTCAGGCTGGTTGCTTCGCTAGTGTGCATGGTTCACTCGGTGGACGAAGTGTTGACCAATGCATCGTTGGAGATCGACGACTGCAGAGCTCTGCTCCAGGCACAACCTATCGTATGTCTCGTAGACCCGTACACACAGCAATACATTGAATGTCAGCATGCCGATCCCTTGTGCGAGGTCGCGACTGGCCCGAGACGTCGGCACACTGCCGGTGAATTCACTCCGGATCCGTTCGCGAGGGATGCGGGCCACATCTACATCACCAGCATCCCAAAAGCCGTTGTCGACCACGTTGTCAGACGTTATGGTCGGGACGTTGAATTTGCTCTTGACGCACCGCCTTCAGAAAAGCCTCCAAAATTGTTGTATCACGATTTCTTGGAGGCCGAGATTTACAAGGTTGGAGTCGGAGGAAGAATGCCAGAGTACAAGGGACCTTCAATATACTCATGGAAAACCCAACCAGAGCATCCGATGAAAAAGGCATTGGATCGAGCAGCAAGAACTGCACTTCGAGTGGACGCTCTCTATTGGTCAAACACACCGAGTGCATACTGTGTCGAGCAATGTGCACACAAGAAGCTCGGCAAACTGTTCGAAGAAGCAAGGTTGGAATATGTTCGGAAAGTGTGTCCGAACATCGACTTCGATGGAATCCAGCCTGGGGAGTGCATCCATTGCTGGCCCATAGCCTGTGTTAATGACGAGAGGTGTTCGTCAAAATGCACGACGAAGAAGTATGGGCTGGCTCCCGGAAGAGAACACGAAGGAGCCTCCGAGTGGTTTAAGTGCAATGTGCTGACCGTGCGGGGAGCAGTCGAGGAGTGCATGAAACTTGTTGGCGGCCAGAAAGTCGGAGGAGTGTGCGAGCGGAAATCAGAAGAATCTGTGGAAGATAAGCACAAAGTTTCATTTTACTCAAACGGCGCGATACACGAATCGCCAAAATTTTGGGGGTACTTCGAGGATGGCACCTCGGACTATCCGTGCGAGGACTCAATAGAAGAGGCGGGCATTGACATCGTGGCACCGACCAGATCACGCTTCGACAAGTATCCGAAGTATCCAGGGTTCGTTTACATCAGCAGAAAGCCCAAGGAATTGAACTACGAGCCCGGGGATTCGAGGGCTGAAAAGTATGTTTCTGAGCTTTACAAGATTGGGGCTGCAGGAAGAGACGGCTCGTTTTTGTCTGAAGATGGTATTGTCCCCGAAACAGTACTGGGCGAGGAGGGTCTACTCTCCAAGGCTGTGGACCGTGGCAATAAAAACGGAGAGCTCCATGAGTTGTACTGGACGGACCATCCCTCTGCCTACTGTGTTGAGCAGTGCGTGCACAGGAGACTCGGCAAAATATTCGAACCAAAACGAGTGGAATTTCTCAGAGACAACTGCCTTTTCCATGACTGGGACTCTCTTCAGAGAGTCCTCAAGCCAGAGGGCTGCACGCATTGCTGGCCACTCGGAGAGAGGGGAAAGAGGACGCTGGCGTGTCAGCCTGGACCGAAAAAGGGGTCGGAAGGATATACTGAATGGTTTCACTGTGCCCTTGACAAGGTGGTAGCGGCGGTGAAGAAGTGCAGGTATCCGAAGAAAGATGGAATTGGAGACGGAGCCGGAGATGGAATTGGAGACGGAGCCGGAGATGGAATTGGAGACGGAGCCGGAGATGGAATTGGAGACGGAGCCGGAGACAGAATTGGAGACGGAGCCGGAGACGGAATTGGAGACGGAGCCGGAGACGGAATTGGCACTTTCATATCCGGCAAATGCAAATTGTTTGATCTGGAAGAAAGCCGGTCCGGGACCAAACGTGTCCGGGATCAGGAGTCGAAGATAAGTGCAACAGCAGCCGGCTGCGAATGGGTCTTTAGTAAAGCTTCTCAGACGGACGGACAGACGGGAGAGAGCAAGGAGGCAGACGGTGATTGCACTCTCGATCTTGCAGATGCTCAATGCAGACATTCACCCCGAGCCAAGCGCCTGAGAAACAGTCTCACCGAAATGAGCGAGGAATTGGAAGAGGAGAAGCGAAACCAACAGGCAAAGGCATGGCAAGGCCACCTATGGAGATAGAGCAAAAGCATGTAGAATGTAGAGCCCAGGATGACGCGATTTTTCACTTCTATGACGCATTGAGCGCGGCTGCTTGTACAGGGGTCTTATGATTGCGATCCGAAACGGACGTGCGCAAATGACCCGACTTACCGCCAGGGCTTTCCAGTCACAAAAAGTATGCTGCGACGCAAGAAAAGCAAAGAGTTTCTGTCATGATGCCATGGCTGCCACGAAGACTGCCTTTTCCATTAATGTTGAGCATTCCCGGGTCAAGTTTGCACTGCGTGAGGCCCACACCACCTGTCGGGGGACCCTCGGACAGAGTGCCCTTCAAGTTGGTGCGTTGTGCAGACCTGTCCGAGCTACTTTAGGGGTTTTCGCCTGATCGTGCGCGGCATTCCACCTGCTAGAGCAAGCTTCCTATTGGATAGTCGACATGAGCACCTTCTGCAATGGGCTGGCCCCGTAACCAAGAAGGTAACCAAGAAGTCCTCAAGGCATAATGTCTTGTGAGACCATGTGGTCTCTCGTTGTAAGATTGTGACTGCTCCCGTACTGTCTGCATGGAGCACCAACGGCACCTCAGCATTATTGATCTCTCACTCGCATCATGATCCGCAGCTTGGTTGAGAACTCAAGTTCTAACGCCATTCCCTCAAGCTCGCTCTCTGTGGCGGAAAGCGCCGTTAAAGCTTGACGAAGGTTTTTTAAGCCGATGATGTTGTGTTTCCGATTTTCAGCACGATGAAAACGAGGCATCTGTGTGTGTATCAGCGTGGTAGCTGCCGAAGCTTTGTGCGCTTCAAAACGCCTTGCACTTTGACCTCGCAAAGTTGTGATGTATCTGATAGGGCCTGACAACCCGAGCTGTTGCGTCTGGCCAATCCCGCGCCTAAGCCATCGTCGACATAGAACGTTTCCATGTCACCTTTTCGTCGTCCTTGCTCGTCCGTTAACGCCCAAGGATCCTTTGATGTGGCGAAACCCCTCAACATTAGCTTTCCCTAAAGGTCGTCTCCCTGGGGATCGAGTCTCATCTCCCTCATGGCCTTGTCACGCTCCTCCTGCCATTCGGAGACGATAGAAGTATTTCCAACGTCACAGTTTCCGCGGTTGTACCAGTCCAAGGCGCTCCAGTACTTTGCGGCAGCCGAGCCGCTGCGATGTTATTAGGAAGATCAGCATTCTTTACCCTTGCCCTTACCCTTCGCATCGTCTCTTTGGCTTGTCGATTCCCTGTTGCAGCAACATGTTGCAAAGGACTTGCGATAGCATCCACCAGGCTTATTGAACAATGACAGATGCCCCTCTTGGAAGTGTCACTCCCTTGACCCCCACCGCCAGTGTCGACTCTCCTCACCATGGTGAGGTCTCAGTCTTGGAGTCCCAGCCAATCTGATTTCATGAACCTGCTGATCTTCTGTTTCCTTGAACCTCACACCCTCCTCTGTAGGTCTCGTCGAGGCTTCAGGGACCAGTCTCGACTCGCATGTGGAAACTGTTGTGCTTGCGCTCTTCAGCTCTAGTCATAGTCTTCAATGAGTTGGGCATCTCACTTGGAGCCAGGGGCGGCATCTGCAGTTGATCCAAACAGTAACACATCAAACGCCGTAGTGCCTCCTGAGCAAGGCTTCCTTTTGCTGCGGTGTGGTAGTCGTAGGCGAGGACCTCGAAAAGGATTGCCAATGATGTCGCCTCTTCTGGGCCTGCGAGCTGCAGCCTAGAAAGTACCCCCCCATACACGGCATGGCACTCGAAATGCATCCATCGTCAGCCTTTTCGACTGCAGCCGCCTTCATGGTTGCGGCAAGTATAAGCAGGAGGGCTGGCGTAAGCTGTGCTTCTTCATCCAAGTGCTCAGTCCGAATCCAAGGAACTTGAGGCTTCTTCATGTTGGTTGCTTTGTCACTGTACATCTTTTCTGCCTGCGACCAACAAGTCTGGCATACTACGCTGTTCCCGTGTCTGAGCGCCCCTGTCAGCTCAAGTTGCGGCAGATTTTTGGGATAGGGATCAAAAAAATAAAAAAGGATCAAAAAAAATAAAAAGGGATCAAGAAGAAAATAAACAAGTATCAAAAACAAAATAAACGCTCAATCAAGAGCTAGGCTTCCTGGTCCTCTGGTCCCCTGGTCCTTTGGTCCCCTGGTCCTCTGGTTCCCTGGTCCTCTGGTCCCCTGGTCCTCTTGTACTCTTGAATCCGTGCAAATACACACAAAAACTTTGCAAATACACACTAATGTGTGCAAATACACCGTAAATGTGTGCAAATACACACTAAATTTGTGCAAACACACACTACATGTGTGAACCACCGGAGCGAAACGGATGCACCCATTGCTGGCCCTTGTCCTGTCCCGCAACTGGGAGCAAGCCAAACAAAGAACTACAAGCAGGCTCCCGGGAGAACGTCATCGCGAGCTACTCAGTGGTTTCAATGTGCCATCTTGCTCGAGGTGAAGGGTGCAGTGGAGTATTGCTGCGAACTTAGCCTTGCCAGCTTTCCGGCTCTGGGGAGAATGTCCTCGGCGAAATGAAAGGGAGAGGATTGAGTTTTTTTTCCGGCGAGGGATCGCTGGAGCGCCTGCCAGACTTTGCAGTTACTTCCCGACCGGTGGACGGGAGGAGGAGGAGGAGGAGGAGGAGGAGGAGGTGTGCACGAATTAAAAGGCAGGAGAACATGAAGACAACGTGTCGCCTGCAATTTCCTTCAAAAGGATCCGGGCTTCGTCTGCTACCACCAGTGTCCCCAAAAGGTTGAGCCGGAGCTCCGGCCCTGAGAATCCTGTTTTTCAGCCTTACAAGATTGGGGTCGCAGGGAGATCCGGTGCGTTTTTGTCTGAGACGGGTGCTGATGGCGTTAGCAAGGATGATCCAGTGTTCAAGGCCGTGCAGCGAGCACGCAAAAATGCGGAGCTGTTGGATGCTTTGTATTGGACGGACATTCCATCTGCCTTCTGCGTTGGGCAGTGCGCACACATGAGACTTGGCAAAGCCTTTCTCCCAAGCCGACTACGCTTTGTTGAGTCCTGTTGTCGTAGTCACAGTCTCGTTATGTCTCGTTGTGGAGCTTCAAACAAAACCCTTCCGCCGATTGCATAGACTGCTGGCCGCTCACGGGCGGTGAGAAGGTGAACGGGAAACATCCGAGACAGCAGCGATGTATTCCGGGACCGGGGCACGAAGCAGGTGGATGTACTGAATGGTTCATGTGCGGCCTAGACAAGATAACACAGACACCGTCAAAGAGAGACTTCTTTCCTGGAGCCACGCCTGCTGCCAAGGCTCAGCCTTAACCCTGCAAGTAGCTGTGAATGCTGGCCGTTTTTGATGTGCGACGCAAGCGGACAAAGTCGAATCGGATGCCAAATATCCGAAGAGAAGTGTGCTACCACAAGATGGTAGAAGGGGCTTTCACGCAGGCCGACAACGACAAGCAGGAGAGAGCAAGGAGGGAGACGCAGGGGAGAGCAAGGAAGGAGACAATGATCCAAATATAGAGCCCTGCAGTCTCGATCTTGCGGCCAAGAAGGGTCAATGCAGAAAGCCAGGAGAAGTCATGAGCCAGCTAGCAGATTCTCAGTCAAGAGGAAGCGGCCAAGGAAGCGGCGTACCACCGAAAGATGCAAGAGCAAGCCCAACCTGTGGACATCGGGTGAGAGCCATGTTGACATGATCTTAATGTGGCAAGCCTTCCCTTGCGAAACAATGTTGAAGGTGCCTACTTCTACAGCTATGTTATGCTCTTGATCGGCTCTAAACACTCGCAAATTACCCGACGTGCTGCAATGCATTCAAGAGCCGAGTGGAGTGATGCAAGAAATGCCGCTCGTGTTCGGAATGTTTCCGTGGAGTGATGTTGAGTGGTGATAAAATCCATGTGCTTGCCCCCCTGGGTTTTAGCCATTTGGGTTCAACCTCAAACCCGCGCTCCGTGCAAAGTCCGGCACATGCAAGCGATGCTTCAGGCGTTTTGCGCTTTGTGCGTGCTGGGCCTTGTGACTCTCAGCCGCGGCAACACGACGCCGGTCGCAGAACTGGACGAATGTTCCAGCCTGCAGGTGGCCGGCCCGTCCACGCACGCAGCTCTGGCAATGGAGGGGTCACGCTTAAACGGCAGCGTGAACTTCAGCCTCTCCAATTCGCCCTGTGCTCCTGTGAGATTTGTTGGAGTATCAGGTTTGCTACTCACGGCGAAGGCATGCTGGGCGTCGGAGGCCATGGAGCTGCTCTCATCGCTGCTGGCACGGATGAAGCTCTTGGAGCAAAGTCAAGAGTGCATCCACTGCGACGCCCAAAACGTAGATCAACAGCCTTGTTGCTGCTTGATGCACAAAATTCGGGCTGGTGGGAGGCTAGCTCAGACGTGGCAGCAGGCTTCAGTTTGCAGCTGAGGTTGCTATTTCTACCAGGAGAACGTGTTGACGAACAGTCCTGATTTTGGTGCCACGACACAACCGATCGAGCTGCGCTTCGAGCTACTCAGTGAGCGGGGATTCGATCAGGACCCGTCTTTGTGATTCCGGGCATTGAGGTTTTCAGTGGCCATGAGTTGCAGACATTGTAGAGAGGATCGCGCAGTTGCCAACTGGAGTGACAGGATCTTGTGGAGATTTCGCGGCAGCTTCCGTTTCCTGATGTCACCAAGCGGAATGACTTTTTGAAACAGCTTCACGACAAGGCTCGGGTTTGTCGGGCTTTTGGGTGATGATGCTGCCACATTGCACCATCAGGGAAGAGTGTTGAATTGTGCGCTTGGCAGGGTATCTTCAAGGCTGTGCAGATGCAGAGCCTGAAATCCAAAGACCTCGGTGACCTCAGTGGCAACCCGCTCCTGCTGAATAAGCTGCAGGCTGAAATGTCCATGCAAGCTGCCGGGACAAAGAAGAACAAAGCACGGAATGAAGCGATAAAAAGGAGGAAGGACGCCATGGAGGACACTGAGGAGGGCTTGGCAGACTTGGAGAGGCTCCTCAACACCGAATTGAGCGACGCACAGACCTCATCAAATGACTTGCGACGACAAGTCCAGGAAGACATGGCAAGAGCAAGGCAGGCCTTGAACCAGGCCAGGTGCTCAGTGTACTCGGCGTGTGATCCCAAGGGCCCCCCCTGTCGAGGTAGAGCTGGAGAGCGCCGACTTGGACACTTCCGATGAACGCAACCAGCTCGACGCTGCTATCACTTCAGGCACATGACACCGGCACAGGCCTGTGCCCGCGAAGCTGTCACGCAGACTTCTGTCTTTGCAGGTGGATTCGTGAATGGCCAGCAGCTCCCGCTGTCGACCTTGATCTCATATGCTGGCGTCATGCGGGGAGTCAGGCCAACGTTTTTCTGCTAGTCAATAAACCTCTGCCTGAAGCTGGCTGATCGCACGGATTATGTGGATGGTTTCTGCATCGGTCCTCTGCTCGCAAAGACAGATGAGGGAGGTAACGACCGGTAGCTGGCGCATGTTGCTGCATTTGGGCTGCTAGTGAATCTTAATGTGAAGCCAGGCAAGTCTGGAGCCTTCTGCAGAACATGAGGTAAGATGTGGCAGACCTTTTTTGCTCGGGAATGTTGCGGACAGGCTGGCGTCCTTCGGCTCCGTGAACCCGATTGGATTGGCGCAAGTTGTGCAGTTCACGCCGGAGATGCAGGCAATGAGCGAGGAGGTGCGGCTGGCAGTTCCCCCCCCATGACACCCAACCCTTCGGACCTTCTCTGTGTGAGCAGCGTCATTTTGCTGAAGGCTTTCCCCCCAGCCACGCTGCGAAACACCCCGAGGAGCTTCGATCCACTGTGGCCGTTCATCCTGCCCAGAGCTCTCTTGAGGCCGTGGGTGGAATTCTCGCTTTCGAGATTTCGAGAAGCTAAAATACAGCAGCAGCTTGCATCCAGGTGTCCCTGGAGACGGAAAGGGCAGGAGACTTCGTTTCTTGGCTTCGCAAGGGGAATCTGAACCTTGAGGATGCCGTGATGTCATTGCCAGGCACACGCTTGTAGCATGGGCCTTCAGCTGTTTTGCCCTCCGCGTTTGGAAGTGCAACAGCACCATGACGTTCATGGCTTTTCGATCTGCGATCTGCATTCCGCTCAGCCTCGTTCTGCCGCCATTTCGATCCGTTGAATTGAGCAATCGCCGAGGCGAATGCGAATGTTGAGTTCGACACTCTGGGAACCAGCAGCCTCGAGTCAAGTTCACACAGCATTTCAGCTACCGGTTCTGCCGGCTATGCCGGCATGTGCCCCTGACAAGCCAATATACAGTTTTCTATTTATTTATTACCGAACGCATCGCGAAGGGTTCTTCCGTGCGGAGCCCCGCAGAGAAGATACATAGGGTGAAGTACATAGAGTGAAGTGATGCACTTGACTCTATGTGACTCTAGTGTGACTCTAGGCTAACTGTGACTCTATGACTCTATGACTCTATGACTTTGACTCTATAGACTCTAATGACTCTATGTACTTGGACTCTACACTATATCTCTATACTATACACTATATCTCTACTATACTCAATCTCGGTTTCTTAATCTTTCTTTTATAGCCGGGGTGGCACCATCCCCATCGATCGGGAATGCAACCCTTCATAGGGAGTCGCGTGGTCGAGCGCACGCACGCGGGAGGTAAAGTGACACATCGCCATACGCACTTTGCAACCATTCATCGGGATTGGCAGGGTCAAACGCACGAACGCGAGGTAAAGTGACAAACCGCCATGCGCAAAAAGCAACCCGTCACAGGGATTGGCAGGGTCAAACGCACGAACGCGAGGTAAAGTAACAAATCGCCATGCGCACTTTGCCGCCCTTCACATGGATTGGCAGGGTCAAACGCACGAACGCGAGGTAAAGTGACAAATCGCCATACGCACTTTGCAACCGTACCATTCACAGGGACTGGCAGGGTCAAACGCACGAACGCGAGGTAAAGTGACAAAACGCAATACGCACTAAGCAACCCTTCACAGGGATTGGCGTGGTCGAATGCGCGCACTTTGCAACCCTGCACAGGGATTGGCGGGTCGAGTGCACGAATTTGCAACCTTTCACAGGGATTGGAAACTTGCAACCTTTCACAGGGATTGGCGTGGTCGAACGCACGAACGCTAGGTAAAGTTGCAATTTTTGATGCGCATCGAGGCGTAAGTTTGCAACCCTTCACAGGGATTGGCGTGGTCGAATGCGCGCACTTTGCAACCCTGCACAGGGATTGGCGTGGTCGATCGCACGAACGCTAGCTAAAGTTGCTAGTTTTGATGCGCATCGAGGCAAAATTTGCAACCATTCACAGGGATTGGCGTGGTCGAACGTACGAACGCTAGCTAAAGTTGCTAGTTTTGATGCGCATCGAGGCGAAATTCTTGGATGATCGCGTGGGGTTATATAGAGCTTACTAGCACTTAGGTGAGTTATGTAAGAGTTAAACGTGTAAGTATAGAGTTTGTAACTAGTAACATAAGTGGTTACAAAAATACTTACCAGCAGGTTAGATAAAGACTTATGTAACAACTTAAGCAAACGGGTAAGTACGTAGCATTTTTTCAATGCAATTACAGCGCCTAGCGCAGTTGAGGGTTGAAGACTTAGGCACTTCGACATCCTAGCCGCCACCTGTCGGGAACTCCACTGAAAAGTGAGCTAAGTCTGAAAGGACGTCTGCACCCCCTGCATCTCCAGCTGGCGGCATCCCTCTGAAGCTCGTGGCTGGGATGCACTCCCAAAAGTCGGAGGTCGTGGCCACTCTGCAAACACGGCAAGCTAGCAACCCACAACATCTTCTGCTTAGCCCACTTGGAAGACACCACGACCCCGCAACCTCTGCAAGCCCTCTGTCCCGCTGCTGATGTCGGGCCCCATTGATGTACCGCATGAGTCTCACTCAAATGGGCCAGGAACTGCAGTTTGTTGGGGGCCTTTGGGCCGTGCTGCTTGGTACTAACGTGCTGGCCCTGCTGCAACCAGAAACTCGCTCTCTCGAGAAGGAGCTTCTGCAGCCTCCGAGTGCGACTATCAAGCCACCTATTGTACTCCTTGTCTAAAGAGTGTTGCAAGCTCTCCTCGACTCTACTGCTGGCTTCGCCGGCTAGTGCATCTGCGAACTGATTTGCCTTGAAAGCCCAGCGAGGCAGTCCTAAATCGACCTGGGCAGTTTGATGCGACTTGATCCAAAAAAGCTTGACCCGGCGGTCCTGAGTTTGCTGTTTCACTCGGACCCACAGGTCAGGGTTTGAGAATGATTTGAGGGCCTTGCGATGCAGATGTCGGAGTTTCCGAAATCTGCGCACTGAAATAAGACTGTCAGTGCAGCACTGCACATTTCCAGTGGTGAAGGTGAGCAACATCAGAATCGCCCATCCTTCAGCACGGGGAACGGTTTGAATGTGCCGTGGCAGTGGGCCTGACAGCTTACCTAAAACATGCTCGGTGACAGGGTCTAAAGCAATGACCGCCCAAGTACAGACACGAATGCGCTTGTCCCTGGAGCTGCTACCCCGACTGCCGTCCGTGCCGAAAACTATGCTATCACCAAGTATGTGCAGAGGACTCTGCTGACAGAAAATACCCTCTTTCTTGACATAACTCATGTCAACTTGAGACTCCTCGTCTACAGGGTGTTTTGAACGCCCTGTCCAGAAAGCTGGTGGCAAACCCCTGAGCCAGTAAACCTCAACATTGCAATCAGCAACGAACTCAAGCCAAGCTGACGGGGTTGGGGAAGTGGCCTCCAGCATGGCCTCACACTCCCATAGCAGGTGCTGCAGGGTGGGAATCTTTCCACACTTCGGACAGACGCGGCACATGCCATTATGGCTGCTAGGGAGGCTGCCTTCAAGAACAGCTATCAAGGCCGGTAGCTTTTCGGGGCAAGTTTTCTAAAGGAGCTGAACATGTTTCTTGGCAACATAAAAATCGATCCCATATTCAGCTCCTTTCCCGCCCTGGCGTGTGCTAGCATGCTCCCAAAGATCGGACTCTTGTCTCTTGCACTGTCTGTACAAGCTGGAGCAGAAGAAGCGGGTCCTCTAGCTGCAAGCGGAGTGTCTCTTCAGCTTTATGCCACTCAAGGAGTTTTGGTGCAACCCAGCCTGCATCTTTCAAGCGGCCCATGGTGGCTGTCATCGGGCCACGCGCATAGTGCCAATGGAACTGCTTGTTCCAAATAACGCTGTGCTGCACACTCCAAGCCTTGGCGATCAGTTCCTGCGTGAAAGCTTCGGGGCTGCTTTCGTGAGGATCTTCCTGCGAACTGGCTGCTTCTGCAACTGCTACTGCTGTGTCTTTGATGGTTTCTGTCCGTACTTTGTGAGTTTGGCTTGCTCAGATCCCGTTTTTCATTCATGCATTTCCAGGTTCTGACCAATTCCTAAGTACTTAGGTGGCTTATGCTAAAGTCACCTTGCAGCAGCAGCTAAAGCAACAGTTCCAGTCAAGGAGGAAGGCACTTCAGAAGCATTTTGAGGAAACTACGGGATCCCTCAAAGCTTTGCATGCGCACCTCAAAAAGCAGCCCTCGCAGGCTGAGCGGCCGTTTGACACCCAACCGTTAGAACAAAGACCAGAATGTCGCAGGAAGTTCTGGCGCGGCCTTTGGGGCGAACAGACGGAGGTCGGCAGACAGCAGCAGCAGGAAGTTTTAGAATGTTTTAGACAAACTCGCGGCAGCGGCAAAACTGCAGCAGGCCCAGCTAAAGCCCATCAGCTCGGCCCAAGTCAAGGAGACTTTGAAGCATATGAGCAACAAAGCGCCAGGAGCAGATGCTTGGACGGTTGCAGATTTGCGCTCGTTGCCAGACGAGGCCATCTCCGGGCTCGTCTTCTTTCTTCAGCAAGCGGAAAAGGAGCTAGAATGGCCGGCAGCACAAAGGCAGGTCCTCGTAGCGCTGCTTGCAAAGACGAAGAAGGCTGAACGACCAATCTCTCTGACCAGCACAGTGTATAGGTTATACATGTGCATGCGCGGTCACCTCCTAAACCAGTGGTTGGATCAGGTCAACCCGCGCAGTCCTTGGGACAGAGCAATCAAAGGCTGCGACACTTTCAGTTCCAGTCACCGGAGGCAAGTCCTTGCAGAGGTCTTGAGCCACACCGGCATCCACCAAGTTACTCTGCTGGTCGACTTGCAGAACGCTTATGATACTATTGACAGAGAGCAGCTGATAGCAGATGCTGAAGATCTACAATATCCTCCGCTGCTGTTAGCAATGGCCATGCCAGTACACAGCGGCCCTAGGATTCTGGTCGCGGAATCATGCGCCAGTGAGCCGCAGGAACCGCAGCGGAGCATCCTTGCAGGGTGCCCGCTGTCTATCTCGCTTTGCAAGGTTTATCTGTGGAAGCCCGTTGAGGGTGTGCTCCGTGCAAAAGCGCCAGCCCAAGCTTCTACTTTCGTTGACGACATCTCCTTCGATCTGCACGGAACCCGGCCGTTAGAATTGGCCAGGAAGTCCTTGAGGTTGTTCACAGACTTGCAGCAGCGGCTGAGGAACAAGCGCATGCGCATCAGCATGGAAAAGACAGGCTTCCTGGTGTCGGACAAGCAGGTCAAGGCTGCGTTCAAACAAGTTTTACAGGAGCAGGAGTTCAAGCAAGGAGACTATCCGCAGGTCCAAGATGCCATGAAGGACCTTGGAGTCGACAGCAGCTTGGGGAGGTTGAGACGCACCAAGGTTCAGCGGGGTAGGCTAGCCAAGGGACTGAAGCGATCTACCAAGTTGCGAGATCTGCCCTCAGGCAAGCGAGTTGCCTTACTTAAAAGCAATGTTTATCCGACTGCTTTATGGGGGCAACACACGCAAGGGCTGAGTAAGACCAAGTTGCATAGCTTCACGGTGCAGATTGCAGCAGATACTCGGTCCAGGCACAAGTTGGGTTGCCTCACCACAGCTTTGAGGCTGCACATGGGTATTGAAGATGACCCTAGGCGCGTCGTCATGGAGCAGCAGCTGGAAGGGTGGTTCAGCCTTCTGCTCGCCCAGCCTCAGCACAAGAAGCAAGTGC